CGAGGTCCGATCGGATCTACTCCTTTGGCTCTCGCACCTGGCATGCTTTGCAGTGTGCGCTAGAGGTCGCCCAGAGGCATCGCCCCAGGAGGGCCCTCCCGAGTGCGCCGTCGGGCCTTATCCAGTGCGTCCAAAATCTGCTGCTTAGTCTCACGCGGCTGCCAAACACGCTCCCACTCCTGCCTTTTTGCTCTCCATGATGACGGTGGGGTTCGCGATAGTGTTGTCACTCAAGATAATATCCAGTCGCTGCTGCTCCTGGGGCTTCACCTGGCGATGCAAGACCCCAGGTTTCGCCTTCCACATATCAGTCAGCCAGCTAGCGTACTTCTTCTGTGCCTGATTGGAGGAGTGTGCCGCGGCACGTCCTGCCCACGCCCCCGTGCGACCAATGAGCTCCGACCGCGCGTCCTCGCCCAGCACTGCGCTGGCGTGGGCGCCAGCTCAGTCCACCTGAATACATCCTCCTCTTCCACCTTCGGTGCCAACTTATCCCGCTTCGTCTCCACGCCTGCGATCCGTCGCTGCGAGATGGACATGTCGAGCTTGACTATGTCCTCATGCTTCGGATGCTTGCACAGCGCCGGCATCTTCTTGACGAGCGTCAGGGTGATTGCCCGCCACTCCGCAGGCTCATGCTTGATATGTGTCCGACCAGGGGTAGCCGATGTCTGTTCCCAAGAAAAACGAACGCCTCCATATCGCCCCCTGTAGTCGGCCTGCCCCGAGTCAGGAATGGCGCGAGTTTGCAAGATCACCTCCTGAAATGAGCTCCCCAACTTAACATAATGATTAAATGCCCGCGCAGTCGCCTGAGGGCCCCTCTCATGCAAGAAATGAGTAGGTAGACCCCAAGACTGCTGCTCCCGCGGCCTCTGGCAGGCCGAACTCGCCTCGGCAATTCCAGTACTCGTCGATCCTGAAAGCTGTCCCCCCCCCCCCCCCCCCCCCCACACACACACACACACACACACGCACACACACACACATACACACACACACACGCACACACACGTCGAGCAAAAGGCTTGGGCAAGGGATGTTCCAGATCCGAGGGGCCGTCGAGAGCTGAGCCAGCACTCGTCACACCGACCTCGCTGAACAGCTCCGAGGGGGAAGGGCGCGCTCCCGCGATTGAAGGCCCGCGGCCACCCGCGCGGGCTCTTGCCCCCCCCCCCCCCCCCCAAAACTGCACTGCAGCACTCATCGCGCCGACCTTGCCGAACAGCTCCAAGGGGGAAGGGCGCGCCCCCACGATAGAAGGCCCGCGGCCACCCGAATGAGCTCTTGGGGCCCCCATCCCCCCGCAATGCACCAGCTGCATGTCCATCTCCGCAGTCGTTCCCAATAGGGAATCCCGGGCCCCCCCCCAGCGCGCGAGACCGCCCTGACGGGCGCTGCGAGCATGCCTTCACAGGGGGCCCAGCCATCTCGCAGCAGCCCAGAGTGTCGCTCCTGTCGCTCTGGCGCTGCCTCCACAGATCGAAGGGAATGGAGAAGTCGATCCCGCGCGCGAAGTCAACCTCTGCCGCAGCCAGCACCGCCGGGGCCTCAGTAGCCTCCGCGTCCTGCGACACCTCCAGGAATGCCTCGTGCAGCTCGCCAGGTAGCTGGCTTCGTCGTTTCTCCAGCGCCGCCTTCTTCCTCAAAGAGCCTTACTGTTAGGATCCGCCCGGCGCCGTGGCCGCCGTGGACATGGGAGCTCAGCGGGAAGATCCAGGGCCTGGCATCGCCATGGCTGAGACTCACCTGCAGATACTTCAAAACCGCAACGAGTAGCCCAAGGTACGCCATGCACTTGGAAAAGAACCACCGATCTCTCAAGGCCACGCTTGACCACAGCAAAGTCGATGGTTGAGCCCGAACCTTTACCACATGCGGCTGACCCTGAAGCCACGATAATAGAGCCACCCCGCTCCTCAGGGTATCCACTGTGCAAGCTGACGAGGTGACATGTTCCAGTCAGCGAGCACAACCCAGGGATCCGCCAACATGTTCAATAAGGCCGTGAGCGCTACCATGCGCTCGTGCGCTGGTCCCGCGATCGAGTCACGCGGCTCAATGTAGAACGCAATGACCACGAGGCCCCCTGTCTTGCGATGCCAAGACACGAGGGCAAAGCCGCGACAGGGGTCAACTGCATACCACTGTCGGCTCTGCCGGCGCACGGCGTCAAAGGTGGCGGCGGCAACCGAGTTACGAGCTAGCACCATCTTGCCCCCCGTCGCGCCTTCAGCCGAGAGGCCCGTCGGGACCGCATAGCACATCGAGGAAAGCCAGTCGCCCTCATCAAGCTTGAGAAACTCCTGCAGCTGCTTGGCCTGAGAGATGCGCGTCTCGACCATCGCCAAAACCTGGTAGCTCTTCCCAGACGAAGCCACCCATCTCTCCACCCGCGGGCCCCATTCAATGACGCTCGCGAAGAACAGCTGGGCCTCCAATGCAGGCTCGGACGCAACGGGATGAGCCTCGCGACCCCCGAGGGGGGATACGAGCAGAAGCGCCAGAGCCAGCAGTTGCGCCTGGTGCCTCGGGAGGCGGCGGCCTAGGCTGGGCTGACTTGGCCTGCTCCGCCTCAGCGGCCTGGCGGATCGACTGGGCAACCAAGGACTTGAAGCGCTCACCGTCGGCAGGAGGGGGGGTCGCCGCCTTGGCAGGCGGGGGGGCGGCCGCAGGCGTGGCCGCACCGACGGCTGCAGGCTCGGGGGCCCCCGAGTCCGCCACCTCCTGGCCCCGCCTCCCCTTGGCAGCTCGATCCTGGTCGAACCGCTGGATGGACTCCATGAGGTTTTGCAGCTTCTGCACCGCTGACTCGAGCTGGGGCCGAGCCGCGTCGAACTGCTTCTTGTACTCCAAGAAGGTATTCCTCTCGCCCTCGTCCATGTCGGCAGGGCCCGCGGTCTCGAATATGTCGTAATGAATGATAAGATTGTTCCTCTGGGGCGCGTCGCGAGCTTGCTCTCTCTCTCTCTCTCTCTCTCTCTCTCTCTCTCTCCCTCTCTCTCTCTCTCTCTCTCTCTCTCTCTGCAACGCCGAGAGATCATTATGGTACGCCGTCTCCGCCGCAGCCAGCTCCTCGATCTTCGCCGCGTGCGCCTCAGAGGCCGTCTCGAGGTCGGTGCGGACCCGAAGCACCACCGCAGCCGCTCTCTGAGAGGCCTGCTCCGCCCTGCGCAGCTCCTGCTTAGCCTTCTGAACAGCCTCCCACGCCTCAGTCGGCGGTGGCTTCTTCGCCTGAGCCTGCAGCGATGATTTGATCGCCTCTGCCACCGCCGTCGGGTGATCTGCGGCCTTGAGGAGGTCGCGCATCTGTTTGTCATTCGTCGTCGTGCCTGGGCATGCGCGGCCCTTGGCCGTGTCGTTCCATGGCGACCACAGCTGGACCTTGTGTCCACACTGGCAGTAGCAATCCTGAGCGATGAGCTTGTAGTTTCATATCCACTTCTTGCAGCCCTCGCAACTGCCCCAAGCACGACCAAACTTTTTTCCTCCAGTGAAGACAAAGACTCACTGAGAGGACAGGCGAGCGGGTAGGGCGGACCACCTCTCGCAAAGGCGAAAGTCGGGCTGAACAGCCCTGGCACTGGCCGCGGACTAGCGGTATCCACGTGTTCCCCACGGAGGAGGAGAACGAGGAGGACGAGGACGAGGAGGAGGAGGAAGAGGAGAAGGAGGACGATGACGAGGAGGGCGAGAGGAGGAGGAGAGGGAGGAGGAAGAGGAGGAGGAAGAGGAGTTGCTCGCTGGTGAGGCCAGGGGGTGCGGGTGACAGCAGCTGGCGGCCTCGCGCCGAGAACACGGCGCAGAGCAGACGGGCACCTCGAGGAGAGAGGAAGAGCAGGAACAAGCGGGGAGCGAGAGGGCGAAGAGGGAAGGAAAGAAGAATGCCCCCGTCGAGATAATCACAAAACTACAGCCCCGGAAAAGGTGTTCTCCTTACGCCGCCACGCACGCCCATGCCGATTCACAGCGAGTTGGGAATGTCCGAACCCATGCCGCCCGCCTTTTTGTAGCGCAGTCGTTACATGTGGGCCACAATGGAAATTCACGCCACCATGCCATCATTACTTCGGCTTGTACACACCCACCACGACGTCTGCGCATTACCCATTCAATGTCGAAGAAGACGCGATGCATCCCAGTGTGCGTGGAGACCGCATGGCGCCCATAATGGACGTTACGCAACCGCGCATACCTTCGCGGAGTTGTTTCGCCACCCCAAGGCAAAACCAAGCAACTTGTGAGGCCGCCTCAAGCGAAACTGGGCCCAAACCAAGCCAAACCAGGCAAACTTCGAGGACATCCCAAGCGAAACCGGACCCCAAACAGGCCCAACCAGGGCCAAACCTGGCAAATTGAGGATGTCTCAGGCGAAACAGGGCCCAAACCAAGTCAAACCAAGGGCCAAACCAGGCAGATCTCGAGGGTGTCTCAAGCGTGGCGCGGGGCCAAACGAGGCGTCAAACCAGGCAGGTGAAAGACGTCCCCGGCAGATTCGCCCAAACAAGGCTCCATCCACTCTCCTTGCTAGAACTTCAATTACAGGAAAGATCACCGCAGGCGGAAGCCCGCTTACAATCTCATGAGGGGGCGTTTGGACCGCGCGCCCGCTGATGCGGCCGAGGCCCGGCGCGGAGGGCTTCATTTTTCATTCGGGTGCTGTTGTGGCCTTGACGCGGCGTTGGGACAAATAATTACTTCCGAGCCTGCAGAAAAAAAAGGCTTGGACTCTGGACCAAAACTCCTCGGCACGCATCTTCCTTTGACACGGGTAGGGCCTCCGAGTCTGTACATCTGTGGTCGAGGGCGAAGGCGCCATCTCGTAGTCTGCGCCCCGAAGCTTGGCGCCCGTCCGCGGGCGGCGGCCACCCACAGCTTACGCAGGCGATCCCACGCAGCCGACCCACGCGGGCAGCTCCCGCGGCAATTCTGACCGAGCTTCTGGGTACTGTATAGGGCAGTTTTTGATACATAGGATTTTCTATAATATCGGAATTGTAATACATGATGAATGTATGAATAAACTTATGCCCACTTCAGGCACCACAGGAGCCGCAGAACACAGAGGAGCCGACCGTCCAGACGCCATGGCCAAAACACCCCGGGCGGCACGGCGAGGCGCTCGTGATCTGGAGCGTGCCTCCGGACCTCGGGCATCGGATATACGCCGATGGCCGTTCACGAGGAAACCACACGGGGTCGTGGCAGCCCTCGGGAGGCGCAGCATCGTCGGTCAACCGCGGGACGATATGGCACCCCCGACCAGCCCCTGCTCCTCGCTGGACGGGCGGCGACGGCGTGGGCCCTGCTGCGTGAATCGTCCTGGCGAGGTGCTTGCCGACAAACTGGACCAAAATGTGCGACCCCTCGATGCGCACACGTGCATAATTATCTGTCGGGTGCTTTGTTGCTCCTTCGCTCTTCGAGCCTCTTGATGACGGCTGCGAGGGTGGCATTAAGCTCTGGCGAAACACCTTCCCAGTTGCCCTGCGGACCCGTGGCGCCATAAGCTGGCCCGTCGGAGACGATCCGCACATCAGCAACCTTGGCCGACTTGGCCGTGGCCTGGGGCGCCTGGAATCGGCACGCAAATCAGATTCTTGACGCCTTGTTGCCTTGTCCGGTGCCTGTGGCGCAAGCCCACGGTGGCTTCATGGACCCGAAAACAACGTCCTTGGAAAAACCATCACCAACCATGAACTTGACTGGATGGAAACGGTTCCTCAACTTGGTTGGATCGCTGCAGGGACTTCGAGCCGGCCCCTCGGCTGTACATGAGATCAAAGATCCAGGGAGACGCCCGAAATGGGTACGGAAAAAATGGGCACAATGCCCAACAACAAATGCTGCCCCTGCCCAACAGCGGCCGCTGTTGGGCAGGCGGTCTTCTGTCTCAAATGTATACACACGCCGCGGCGACGCCGACAGCGAGCCCTGTTCAAAACGAACACGAACCGCTGTTGGGCATTGTACCCATTCTTTCCGTACCCATTTCGTTCGTGCCGAACGTTTGACCCCCCCCCCGTCCGAATCTCCATCCCTTCCTTTATCTGCCCCCTCGCCTCCCATCTGGCCAGTCTCTACCCAAGCTTGGGGGCGGCACGTTTGGATCGCTGCAGGGACCGCGAACCGTCCCCTCGGCTGCACATGAGATCAAAGATCCAGGGAACACGTTTGACCGCCCCCCCGTCCGAATCTCCATCCCTTCCTTTACCAGCACCCTCGCCTCCCGCCCGGTCGGTCCCTAC